TCATCTGTATTCTCGACTGGTTCGATCCTCCCAACACTCGCATTATTGTCACTGTCAGGTAAACGCTCTGGCTATTTCTAGGGCGAAGGTCTAAAAAGAAGGCTTATTGAGAGAGGGTGTGATAAATGGCGCTCTTAATTGCGGTCTAGATCCGCCTGTCTAGTCTAAGGGGTGACTCCCATGTGTCCAGACTATTCAAATATATTTATGACCGAGACACCAACTGTCCATGTTTTAGTCTATAATACCACCACATAAACTCTGTTCTAACAAACAAAATTCTACATCACATCACATCCTCTTATTGCTCCATTTCGCGATGCACATGGTGTGTACATTCCTCTTTGCTAAGCACCTCTCCGCTATACTCCACCGCATTCCGCACCACATCATTCTGAATAAACTACCCCTCTACCATTAATTTACCAGGAATTTTCTTTCATTTCATCTGCTGGAGAAGGCCATCCCACTTCTCCCCAGCTTGTCTGCCACAACTTTTGTCCACTGACTAGTTTTTTGAGGAATGGTCCTTCGAACTTACTTCCACATTCGTTAATCAGACGAGTGTACTTACAGTCATGCCCAAATCAACCCACCCACTAAGCTGCAATTAGGGGCATGCACCACTTCGTGTCCAGATTGCTATGCTTACTTGCTTCGTGTGGGTGTGTCGGACAGCGGAGGGAATTGTTCACTGTGAATTGCTCACTCACTGAAGGCCAAACAATTTAATTGCAGCTCCAGTTGCAGCCAAGATCTGTCCACTTGATGGGATACCAAGATGCAACTCCAATATGGACAGGATCAATGGGCATCCTGGAAGCAACCAGAACTAGTCAATCGGCGGGAAGAAAGTCTTAGTCGTACTGCACAACGCAGAACGCTTTAGGGCTGGTGGAAGGACGGGAGGGATTGAGAGTGGGATTGACTGCTTTATCTCCGTTCTTCTTTTTCCCTCACTGGAATTCAGGTCATCTTAAACTGCATGGGTTACAATCAAGGAGTATGTCTGAGAGATTTCTGCCGTTATTGACATGGATTATACACCAATAAGCAAATCACTTCAGTTTTCGGCAGTATTTTGATTTTTGTAATAAGGAAACAATTACCACTGGTAAATACACTGTCAAATGACAAAGTGGGTAGCAAACAACCTCAACACCAACTCGACTGAGTTAACTGTTTCCGCTTCCCCTCACACATGAGCCGTTTAAATAAAGTAACTCGACCTACCAGAATTGGGTAGTCACAGCAATCCTTTCCCTACGATAGGCGGTATTTTCCATATTAGTTAAAAGTATAAAATTTATGCAATCGAATTTGTACAACAGGGTGATGACACGATCAGTAACAGTCATCGGTTGGATTTCCACTTCCATTCCTCACTCTGAATCTGATTTACCCCGTTCACATGTTGGAGGTAATTCACAGACCATTTTCTTGAATTCTGAAACATTTATTCGGGGAACAAATGACTTGTAAGCATCTGAGATTATTATTATTATGAATACCTTTTCACTTACTACTGACTGTACTTTATTTGCCTCATAGTTATAACAAGGACACTTTGTTGCGCACTGTAGTCTATTATAATATGTGAATATAACCTAATGAGAGTCTACTACTAAACAGGACTAGTTTTGAACATAAGTAAGTGTTTCCAAAGATATTTTTCAAAAACATGGTTAAATTTGACCTTGCCTTCAAAAGTGACTCTTCCATCACCGTCTGTGTCTGCTTCTGCGAGAATATCGGCAGCGTCGCTGCCTAAGGATCAAAATTGAGCAGAAAAGTGGAGTGGTTACCAGAAACTTCGAGACCCATTTGCCTTAGGACAGTTTGAAGTTCGTCGGGAGTTATGTACCCATCGTTGTCCTGAAAAGAAACCCAAGGTAAGACTCGCGAGCGTTATTTTTGCTTCGTGTACCAATCGCGGTCTTGACATCATTTGTGTCTTTAATATTTTAAACAATTCACTCACTAATTTAGTAGCTTAGCATACATTCCTCTTTTATGCGTGGATCTAGCCTTTAATATCTGCAAATTAAATTCTAGTTGGTGAATTTACTTTCAAATTTTGCCCATTTATGAGAGATTTCTCGCAGTATTTACTCACTGATTGCCCCTTTCAAGCCCCACAAAACTACTAGGCGGACTTTGAGTATTCCCACTGCTTATAGCTGCCCATTTTTTTGCTTATTGGTATGAAAAAGGAAATCGGTTTTGGCTCTACAATTTTACAAGCACTTAAGCTTCACCTTATCGAAGACACGAAAAGTCTCTTGCAAGGTCGCAACATCGGGTGTGGAGGTGAGTTCTTTAGCGCCAAAACATTCAACAAATTCGTCAAATGCTATTTGACCGTCACCTGCAGAAACAATTAACATAGAGGCCAACTCCCCTTGCATGCAACCAATCCACTGCAGAGGTGTCAATGACTCACCGTTGATGTCTACCTGACTCATAAGTAGTTTTAGTTGTACCGCAGACGGATTTAAACTGACAACGTTTAGAATTTTGGCAAATTCCTCTCTGCTAATTGTCCCATTTCCATCTGTGTCGAAGCAGTTGAAAATTTCTCGAAGTTCTGTATCAAAAAGTCAGACAAGAAAGAAGCGATTATGGAGGAACAATTAAGAGCTCACTCCTGACTGGTTTGGGGGATGCAATGATTTGTTGGGGATGCAGCAAAATTCACGCATATAGAGAGAAGGTTTACTTTAAATTTAATGTACTTTTAATGTGGTCGATGTTTGACAGTATACAGTTTACATGGGATATTCATTGATTACCTGACTCCCTAAATCCTCCTGTCGATCCATCAATGCATGACTTGATGAGCGGTATTGGCAATTACTTTGAAAACTCTATAAGAAATGGTTGTTTTTTGTATAACTACACTTATTTTAACCAGGGAGGGTCTTCAGCCTCCGCAGTTTGGTTGTTAGCCTGGTGTTGTGACCTCGTAGGCCCCTCGCCCTCACAATTGGAGTGCCGTTAGGGATGAACAGAAGCAATGGGGTTATTTCCGTGGAAAGTGAATCCGATCCAAATTAATAGTAGCAATTAACCTGTTGACTGGATACAAGTAGAAGATTTCTAGTGTGAATTGGTGAGCCTGTTAAAAGCCACAACGAAAGAGTTACCTAAATCGTTTCAACTTGGAGCATTCACCTTAACCTCACTTCAGTGATACTTGGAAAAAGACCAGATTTGAACGGTTCCAAAATATACCACAAGAAACTGCTTATGGCTTTGCCATGAGCCCAGGGATCTATGCTATGCCCTAAGAATAAGGAAAGCTACTTTTTCATCTTACCTTTAGGCCAGGTAAGTACAAGATATACCTCCTGCAGCACATCGTCTAATCTTAAGCACTACCTCTCAAAGAAACCACTTCTCTCATAGGAGTGGTTTTGCAGAACACGCAGTGTCTAAGACTTCCCGTCAGATCTACAGCATAACACAACCTCATTATCTTCAATCCTATAGCCCACACGAAACAGAGGGAGAAAAAGGAAAGGATTCTTATCCTAGCTTCGTGGCGCCTCCTTCTTTGTCACAGCTTACATCTTCAAAAGAATGTAATTCTTTATTCATCAAGAGCGCAAATTCTGCGATGTCAGAATGTCAAGTAGCTATGAGGAATACGGATTTTAGGTATCGGTTTTTCTTTCATAATTTACTAAACTACCTAAATGATGCCTGGTGTAATATCGATGGAGAGATATAACTAGAAAGTGTCCAATTGATCACTTACCGTTCAGTTGTGAAGGTGTTAGGTCGTGGGCCTCCTAAAAGGCAGGAACTAATAAATATTCAATGAATTATTCAAAATATAAGCAAATGTTTGTGGAGTTTTCTCGTTCATTGAAATCTTATTTTAGAGACAGAAGAAAGCTTTCCATTGCACGGAAATGGCAGGCGATGATTGATACTTCACAAACACGATGACAATTGGCGTTCGTTTTAGTGAGGTGACCAGATAATGAGCAAATAATTGAGTGAAGAAAGAAGTAAATTAAAAGAGGGTCCTCTAGGTACTCCAACGTTGAGAGTCAGGGTATATTCATTCTAGATTCCTTAGCCGATCGACTTCTAGCTTTTGATTCGTTTCTGTCCTTTTTAATTTAGCTTTTGACGTTTCCACCTAAAGCGACATTCTATGCATAAGGTAATGACTCGCTATACGGTATACACGGTTGCTATGTGGACTCAAAAATGCACCTATCTTCCTCTGCTAATCTCTTGAAAAAGTAAAGTGCCCCTTCCCTCCTATTTCTTTACAAGCAGAGCCACGACACTACAAGCCTTACTCCTTGTTCTCCTTGGTACGCCAAAATTTTTCTAACACTAGCTCAAGCTATCTTTCCAAAGGGGAAGCAATACTAGGAACATTTCATTTTATAAAAGCATGAGCACAAAGTGTTTGGTATCACCTTTTAGAGAAGGAAAAAATTCATTTTGTCCTACATGACACCACTTTCGTGTAGAATTTACACTACAAAACATTTGCTAAAGTAAAATAAAGAGGCCAGAGGAATGAAATGTAATTTGGAAACCGAGGTGGTAATCAAAAACTCCCCTCCCATAACCATTCCCATTCCTTCCTTATCAATAATGGTGACATTGGCTGTCAATAATCGCAAGACAAATGAGGGACAACTTGCCATAATCTCCTCGTCCGTCAGGCACCTGTTCGTATGGCAGTAGCGAAAAAATGTCATCCCCTGGCGCCGAATCCACAGATAGAGGCTCTGCGTTTGAGGGCTTATTCACCCCCACAAGTCACTCGCTATTGGCTTTCGTGGCGGTCACGAGGCCAGGGCCAACCGAATTTGTCAACTTGAGTGGTGGTGATTGGTGGGAGACGAGGTAGGCCTCGCCCAACTCACGTGCTGGCTGATATCCTTCCTTCGGGTGTGGTTCAAACCTGCTCTTTGGGCGAATAATATGTGACATAAAAAAGCAGTAAAAGGCCACCTTAATTGTAGGTTGTTTTGGTTAGGGGAAAGAGAGTGGAGTGAGTAGAAAGAGAGGGGGGTGGAAACACTGGTTTGTTAAAGTGATTTATTGAAATTGGACTTTGCTTAAGCTTAATTCCAAAAGCCATCTAGTTGTGGCATAAGCTGTCTCCCCTGGAGATGGGATAGCATATGAAAGAGTGAAAGCTACGACATTAGAGACGCATAAAAGTGCTGAGAGACTGGTGACCAAGCGGAGGTAGGTTAAATCGTGAAGGACTGCAAGCAAATGAATGTCATTTGACAACCAGACTTCTGAATTCAGCAATCGTGGTACATCACTCAGATTTCTATGTGGTTTATACATAACTGTGCTTACTAGCCCTCCGCAAAGATTCGTTTCTCAGTTTATTGTGCTGTTCACTCATCGACTGAAGGCCCACAGAGATGACCTCTGTAGAGGTGAGCCGTAAACCACCGGAAATGGGATCGACGGGGACTAATATCCGCTGTACTGCTATAAAGTGGAGTTTCTAGGGTCGAGCGGCTTGAATTCTATCATGGTCGTCAACAGAGCCAGAAAATTAATGCGTAAAGACTTCAGGATGGATACCTTTCCTGTTAAATGCGGGTGGATTAGCACATAGGTGTGAGATGCGGGTACTGTTCCAGTTGCTGACCCGCGCAGATTCCCGGAGGCTGAGTCAGAGAGTGCGATATGGCCTGAATATGTCGGCCGGCTTTATCATGCAAATTTACAGAAATGGATTGACCTTGGCCTTAGAGTGACTACTAGCGCATTTAAAGTAGACCTGAACGTAGTTTCAGCCATTCAGAAGGAAGACAGTAAGACCGCAATCTGCAGAATGTTCGAGCATTACCTGGGAAAACGGAAAACTCCGGCAAATTGAACAATGACATTTTTCTGAGGCTGCAGGCACGCCCAGCACATACGACACATTTTAAATTTTTTGTATGGGTAGATATCCTTGAGCTTGGTCTCAGGGCCCGCTGTACAAGATACTTCCTTTACCACCATAAATGGCCTCACATAGGCAATGGAATCACGGTTGTGTGGGCAAATAAACGACATGCGCATAGGCCAAAAGTAATTGGGCGGAGTTATCGCCTACTACTGCGTGTAGGGTTAGCAGGGCAGCGACTTACATTTTGGTACACTAAAGTCAAAGTCATGAATGCCTCCTCTAATTCACATGCTTGAAGGTATCAAAATGCGAAAAAAATCCCCTTAGAGAAATATTCTCTTCTCAATAAAGAATACGGACCCAAACCAGCCTTTTCCCACCCTGACTTTAACATAGGTCTAATATGCAGGCTATTCGTTTCCAAGTGTGGAATTTAACCATCCATGTGAGTGAATTCCGGACCACTGATTAATAACTGATGGTTGGTGAAGCAAGTCTCTCCGAAAATACATTCTTTGAGAAAGTGAAAGGCAGAGAGGAGCGAGAAGACCACATTGAGTGTTTGAATGATGAAAGCTAAGCAGGCATAGAATTACAACAACGTCATCAAACGCAGCGATTTAGCTTTGTCACATATTTTGAAGGAGTATAGACAATTGCAAATCATGCTTGCCCTAGATACCGATATTCGCTCTTAGAGAAGTTAAATCCATTTGTAAGAGTCAAACGTCACTGGAGATTTGATAGTACTTGCAACACTTGCAATACGTGCAAGAATAC